CTTGTACTGCTCTGGGGAGGTTGCTTATACCAGTGAATTTCACTGGTATAGGCAACCATTTTTACTGAATGAAATTAATTCAGTTATTGTGATTAGTGGTGATTGGCCCTGTCTATACCATGTGATCACTGTGACCAATCACAGCTAGGAAAACAACTGTTTACAATTGTCATGTGATCTGCTGTGATTGGTCACAACAAACGCGTGGTACTGGAAACAGGCCTGTACAGTGGTCTGTCATTGGCTGTGTCTGTTGGACACAGCTACTAACAGATGGTGCCCACAGCACGGCTGTGTTCTGGGAGTCCTTGTACTGTCTGTATACTGTTTGTAGCTAGTGCTACATACAATTTATACAGCACTGAAATCGTAGTAATGGAAGTAGTACTTTTGGGACTGATTGGCCCAAAGAAACTATTTAAAGTAACAAACAACCCAGAGGTAAGCCGGCCATAGACAGTTTGAATCTCGGCTGGTTCAGCAGGTACTGGCCAAGATTCAAACCATGTATGCGCAGGCTGAATGTATGCAAGTTGATCAAACCAGCCTGTCAGATTTTACATGTTAATATTGCAAAATGAAAAAAAAAAGGCAACAGAAGAAAAGGGCTCCGCGGGAGGGATTCCCCCATCAGCACTGACTGTTTTGATGGGGGAATCGAGCAGTTTTATTTTCTGCAACCACAGGTTGCAGGAAAGAAAACCACTCCATCTATGGCAGGCTTTAGACTGTAAATGCACATTGAATCTTATGGGTAGATCTTTGGCCCCTTTCACACGGGGCAGAGCTGTCCGTGGATCCGCTTGCTCAGCGGGGGATCTCTCCGCTGATCCTCCCTGAGCAAGCGAATGACAGGTCTGTGTCCACTCCCCTGCTGCAGAGTGGACACGGACACAGACCGCTGTCCTCTATAGGCGGTTGGATGGAAACTGATCACTTGTCCCTTTTCCATCCAACTGCAAAGGTGTATTTACCACAAGGCAAACAAGGCATTTGCCTAGGGTGGCTTTTTTCAGGGGGGGCAGCACTTCCCCTTGGAAGAGGGGACGGAAGAAGGGACACAAGTGGTAAGGGGAGCTGGTGGGTTCCAAGAGAGACTGCGGGATTCGTGAGGGTGTATGCACTACCCCATTCTTGTAGAAAGGCGAGTGTCTTTCTCTGTCTCGCCATGGCGGATGGTGGCCTGTGTATGGGGGGGCAGTGGCAGTGCAAGGCTCTCTTTGGAGGGGGGGGGCACGGGTGTTGTTGGTCAATGTCAAGTTATCTCTCTGGGGGGGGGGGGGGGGGCAGGAGTGTATGGGGGGGGGGTGTTTAGGTTTTCTGCTGCCTGGGGCAGCCTAAATACACCACTGTCCAACTGCCATCCCATCTGATCTGATGGACGGAAGAGGATGAGTTCCCCATCGATCTTTTATTGGCGCATTGGATTGGATATTGGTGGGTGTAAATGGGCACACATTCGTTCACACCCGCCGCTCCATAGAGGAGAATAGAGGTTCTGATCGGGTCCGCCTGAAAATCGGCCAGGCCGACCCGATCGGAACGTCCATGCGAAAGGAGTTTTCGTTAAAAAGAATGGCCTGGTGACTGGTTCTCTTTAAATCAGAATGATCAATTTATACTAGGTTTTATCTGCAAGTGATGATTGAAATCTTAGCTCCCCTTCCACAGGGTGGGTGCAAGTTGAGAAGGTGTAATCAGTTATTTCCCCGGAGAAGGAAGATCAGAAGGAGCAGTCCAGCTTGGCCTAGAAAACCTAATTTCCGTCCTTCTTGCCTTCCTTTATCTTTAACTGAATCTCTGGCAGTTGATTTGAGCTAATCTCCCAACCAATCGGTCAGGTACTCAACTTGCCACTTTTAAAGCGCATCAATGCTTCTCTACAAATTTCTAGCTAGATATGCTGTACTTTTTGCTGATAATCAGCAAAGTGCAGATACAGGAGAAGTAAGTGGACTTTTGAATAACATCTGAGTGTAAAATCTCCTGCTTTTTACACTTTAATACATTTAAACCCTAAACAAATTGCAGAGGCCTTTCTTTAAATACTTGATAAACAACTAGAATTTTATTTGCAGCTTTACACTTTTTTGGATCCTATTTCGTGTAGCATTGAATGCCTTATTTAAAGCGGTATTAACCAATTCAATACCGGGCAATTTTACACCTTCCTGCCCAGGCCATTTTTCACGTTTCAGCGCTCTTACACTTTGAATGATTGAATGACAATTGCGCGGTCATACAACATTGTACCCAAACTAAAATTTTATCATTTTCTTCACACAACTAGAGCTTTTTTTTTGGTGGTATTTAATCACCGCTGGGGTTTTTATTTTTTGCTAAATTAACAAAAAAAGACTAAAAATTTTGAAAAAAAAAAGTTTTTCTTTGTTTCTGTTATAAAAGTTTGCAAATAAATAATTGTTCTTCATAAATTTAGGCCGAGATGTATTCTGCTACATGTCTGGTGAAAATAACCCAAATTAGGATGTATTTTTTAGTTTGTAGGAAAGTTATAGAGTTTACAAACTATGGTATAGATCTGAATATCGATCAATCCTGAAGTACTGACAGCCAATCTAATTTCTTGAGGTCCAAGAATGTCAGAACAGTACAGATATCCCCAAATGTCAGAACAGTACAGATATCCCCCAAATGTCAGGACAGTACAGATATCCCCCAGATGTCAGGACAGTACAGATATCCCCCAAATGTCAGAACAGTACAGATATCCCCCAAATGTCAGGACAGTACAGATATCCCCCAAATGTCAGGACAGTACAGATATCCCCCAAATGTCAGGACAGTACAGATATCCCCCAAATGTCAGAACAGTACAGATATCCCCCAAATGACCCCTTTTTGTAAAGTAGACAGTCCGACGTACTTCATAAGAGGCATGGCGAGTTTTTTGAAGTTGTATTTTTTTGTCATAATTTTTCGGAAAATGAAAAAAATTAGTTTCACTATTTTTTTTTTACATATTGTCACCAGTGCAGTACAGCGTCATCATATAACTGTCATGGCGGTGATCGGGGAAACTGGTGACAGTATGGAAATTTTTTATATATATATATATATATATATATATATATATATATATATATATATATATATATATATATTATATATATATATATATATATATATATATATATATATATAAAAATATATATATATATTTTTTTAATTTCTTTTATTATTTTTTATTACATTTTTTTTTCTTTTTTTTAAGTTTTTGTTTTCATATTTCACTATGACCAAAGTAGTACAATGTTACCAAAGTAACATTTTACTACTTTGAGGAAGTGATCAGTATTTTTTTTTACACAATTTGCTTATAGCAAAGAATTACTTTGCTATAAGCAAGCATTTACCTGAATGACATCGATTCATTCAGGGTTTTTTTTTTTTTTTTGTGCTTAGCTGTGATTTGGCCACAGCTAATCACATGACATGTGCATGTGATTAGCTGTGACCATTCACAGCTAGGCAGTAGTTTACAATGGATGGCATGAATGACGCCATCCATTGTATACAACTGTCATGTGACCTGCTGTGATTGGTCACAGCAGGTCACATGGTACCGGCAACGGGGGCCGATACTCAGATCTGTCATCAGCCGTGTCCGAGGTACACAGCCGGTGACAGATCGCGCCGCTCTGCAGGAGCACAATCTGCGCATGTGCGGGAGGACGCCATATGGCATCCACCCGGAACGCTGATGACATTTGCCCGCAATTCGGCCATAGGGTGGGCGGCAAATGGTTAAACGCAAATTCAAAAATGTATTATGTTGCCACTTACCAATCATTAGATGTGGTGACAGCATTAGTTTTCTTTTTTTTTTTTTTAGGCTTTCTCTCCTCTGCTTTCACCTGGTGATCTGGCCAGTAACGCACCTCCTGTATTAGAACGCTACCACTCTGGATGAAGGAGCACAAGGAGCACCTTTGTACAGCATCATTGTCAGTCTGGGGGGAGGGGAATTTTAGGTGTACTAACAGATTTAGATACACTAACAAACTGAAGCCAAATTCCAGCTCACACTTTAGGCCTCGTGTACACAGGACATTAAAAAAACCCCAAAAAACTCTACTAGAAGCTGTCCTCCTGGCAGCAGCGTTTTTGCAGCAAAAATGTCTAATGCTTGTAAAAGTTTCTAAAGTTTTTACAAGTGTTTAGGCGCATTTACAAGCATCAAGGCGTTAGGTGTTAATTCATTTAATTGGTCAGAACGATAATTTATTCTGGCCATTGAAATTAATTAACACTTAACCACTTCAATTCTGGACACTTTCACCCCCTTCCTGTCCAGACCAATTTTCAGCTTTCAGTGCTATCACACTTTGAATGACAATTGCGCAGTCATGCAACACTGTACCCATATTAATTTTTTAGCATTTGTTTGAGACAGATGAAATTTTATTTTGGTGGTATTTATTCACCACTGGGATTTTTTTTTTTGCTATATAAATGAAAACATTTTGAAGAAAAAGTGTTTTTCTTATAAAATTTTGCAAATAATCTTCATAAATCTTGGCCAAAATGTATTCATCTATATTTTTAGTAAAAAAAAAAAACCCCAAATTAGTTTAACAAAAAATTATATTTTTTCTAATTTTTTTTCTTTTTTAACATACTGTCGCCCTAGCAGTACAGTGTCACCATAGTGACAGTGTACTACTTGTGGGGGGTGATGAAGATTTTCTATTTTTTACACCCATAAAGGCTATGAAAGCAATCATTTCTCCTTCTCTCTGGTTGCAATCTTGCAGCCATTGAGAAATACTGTGAGAGCTGTGATTGGTCACAACTTGTCACATGGTACAAGACTGTTGTGAATAGCCTTGTACCATGTGACCTCTGTGACAGGGGCGGACTGACAACTCATGGTGCCCCCGGGCAATAGGGGATAATGGGGCCCCTGTGTCCTTGCCCAAACTCAAAAAAGGCTGTGAAAAAGGTACCAGGGGCATCTCATGGGGCCCCTTACTGACCCCAGGCCCTCGGGCAGTGCCCGAGTTTCTAAATGGTCAGTCCGCCCCCGGCTCTGTGATCATTCACAGATTTCACATGTAATCAATGATGTAATCTTGTTTACTACTATTCATGTGATTACTGATTGGCCAGTCACTGATCACATGATCGGGACCTCACACAGAGGTCCAGTACAGCAGTCGGTGTTCCCGGATCGTGGTGCAGCGTGCTCCCAGGGAGGGCACACAGGCAGGGAATGTGGGGGCCATTTATAAATGGTGACCCGCTTCGGCACTGCTCCCGTCCAGCCGTTTATGTACATGGGCCGGACGGGAAGTGGTTAAGCGCTAAACACACCTAACATTACGACGTGTCAAGCATTTCTTCTGCCAAAACGCTGCTGCTCTTGCACGCCTTTTTTTTTTTTTTCTGCTGGTAAACGCTACTGCTACTAAAAGCTTCTAAAAGTCTATATGCATAGACACATAGGATAACATGGAGCGCCATTTGGAAGCAGTAAAAAGAAAATGCCTGACACCCCTGAAAGTGGCTGCAAAAATGCCCTGTGTGCATGAGGCCTTATAATCAGTTTGTTTTCCTTTTTGGATAAAAGTTTTACATTAGTAAATAAAAGTTGATCTTTATCATCTATGTCGGTGTTAAATGGTTTGTCTCATCCATATAAACTGATACTTTCTGCTGGAGAGATTGTGCTTTTGAAACACAATAGACTTGCTGGCTGGATCACCAGTTGAAACTAGAAGAAAGAGAGCCTAAAAAAATAAAACTACTATCACATCTAAGAACTGGTAAGCCGCAATATAATAAATGTTTGCTTTTGGCTTCTAAGGCCCCATGAACACTGGGTGTTTTTAACCACTTCCTGTCCGGGACACTTTTACCCCCTTCCTGTCCAGGGCAATTTTCAGCTTTCAGCGCTATCACACTTTGAATGACAATTGCGCGGTCATGCAACACTGTACCCATATTAATTTATTACCATTTTATTCAGACAGATCACGCTTTATTTTGGTGGTATTTATTCACCGCTGGGATTTTTATTTTTTTTTGCTATGTAAATGAAAAAGTCCAAAAATTTGGAAAAAAATGTTTTTCTTATACAATTTTGCAAATAAATAATATTTCATCATAAATCTTGGCTAAACTTTATCTTTTTAGTAAAAAAAAAAAGCCAAATTCGTTTATAACCAAAAATTATTTTTAAACATTTTTTTTTTTTTGTTTTACATTTACTGTTTTACATACTGTCACCCTAGCAGTACAGTGTCACCATGGTCACCCATATAGGATGTAAAAAAAATTATTTGTCTTTCTCTCTGTCTGCATTCTTGTAGCCATTGAGAACTACTGAGTGAGCTGTGATTGGTCACAGCTTGTCACATGGTACAAGGCTCTTGTGAATAGCCTTGTACCATGTGACCTCTGTGATCCTTCACAGATTTCACAGGTAGTAAGCAATGATGTCAGAAGTGACATCTTGCTTACTACTTTGCATGTGATCACTGATTGGCCAATCAGTGATCACATGATCGGGACCTGTACAGAGGTCCCGTCCGATGATCGGTGTTTCACTGTGTCAGGAGGACACAGCGAGCACCGGATTGCGGTGCTGTGCACTCCCTGGGAGCGCGCACAAGCAGGGGGCGGGGAGGTCATTTATAAACGGCCACCCGACCTTGCACTGCCACCGTCCGGCCGTTTATATACAACAGCCGGACGGGAGGTGGTTAAAGCTGCTGTTTTTGGTGTTTTTTTTTTTTTTTTTCTACAGCCAGTAAACTCCTCAGCATGTTATCCTATATGCCAATCAGGGGCGGACTGACCATTTGGAAACTCGGGCAGTGCCCGAGGGCCCTGGGGTCAGTATGGGGCCCCATGAGATGCCCCTGGTACCTTTTTCATAGGCTTTTTTTTTTTGCGTTTGGGCAAGGACACAGGGGCCCCATGATCCCCTATTGCCCGGGGGCCCCATGAGTTGTCAGTCCGCCCCTGATGCCAATGCATGTAGTCTTTAATCAGAGTTTTTTGGCAGGGGTATTTTCTGTCTGGAAAAGAACCCTAGAACTAGTGGGTTTGAAGAGGTGTTTTTTTTTTTAGCTGTAAAAACAATCAAAAACGCTGGTGTGAGCGTTTTTTGAGGCAAAATTTTTTTGGGGGGCTAAAAAATGCTAAAAAAACACTAACGTGGCTAAACGCTAATGCAAAAACGTTAGAAAAAAAGCATAAAAACTTGCGCTTTTAATGTGAATTTATACAGCTAACGCAACCAACATTTTTAAAATGCCCAGCATGCATGAGGCCCAATACTGCTTTAAAGCACCCCTGAGGCTGATCTGCAAATTAAAATAGAGCAACTCTTTTTGTAAAGAATAAAATAAATATTACTTTGTTGTCAACATTACTTTGTTGATGAGTAATAGTCTCCCGAAATCTGTGAGTGTGATTTACTGGGTCAGATAACCTATGGTTGGTCGCTAAATATTTGACACACAGAAACCTGCTTTATTTAGATGTTTGAAATGAAAGATACGACTAGTGTGGCAATTAAAAAAAACAAAAAAAAACAAAAAACAACTTTTCGCACAAGTAGTTTCCCAAAAAAATCCCAAGTGTGACTTTTCGCAAAAAGCCTTACAATCTACATCAAATATATAGTGATAAAAGAAAATGAGACCATCATTATTTGGCCCAGTAGCATTTTTCAAGTTCTGCTCCAAGAAGATGATCGCACAAGACGGTTACACACTCTACTATGCATCAAATAAAATATATGCCCTGCGTACATGTGCCAAAATAAGGTGGGACGTGCAACAATCAGCTTCGTTTATCAGGCTCACTATATCCCCCAAAATGTTCACTGGTACCTTCCGCCAACCTCTTGTCTTTACTGTGTACTGTAGTGACATGGAGGTCAACAGAAGAACCCACTGAGTGCCGCATGGAGCACAGTACATTGGCACTCCTAAAAGTTTTGGTTGACCGACCGCTTTCTAGAGATGGTTCTTCCTTAGTAGAGTGGTGTTTGCCTGCGTGACCATCAGGAGAGGTAAGTACGTATGTATGTACATATTTTTTTTTTTTTCAGGGTGCTCTTTTCTCAATTTTGGAGATCGGTGACCATGACGCTAATTACATTATCTTACTAGACATTTGTTTCTTACAGTGCTTTCATAAGACTTGGTGATTCTGTTTTTAGGGTCATTTATGTTTTGTGCATTGCAGTAACAAGTGCTAAAACGCATGGCTTACCACAACATATGTCAATACCCCTGTTCCATGTATGGTTTGTTGTGGTGTCATTCATTGTGAATGGGACCCCAATGGACCCCATTCATTGTGAATGGGACCCCAATTGTACAGTAGAGCCCAAGGTACAGCAGGGCACCACAACACATATGACATGCATTACGGTGTGCTGCATCTTAAAAAAGGTGTTTTTCATTGCTTGTAGTGCATAGGCAGCTCATTCATTCAAGGATTCAAACAATGTATTGTCGTTATGCAATCACAAATCATACAATGAAATTCAGGTGTAGCGCTATAAAGATTGAGCTGTCTTAATAGAACATGTTAAAGCAGAACTAAACTGTATCTGAGCACCACAAACTGAAAACGTGATTTCACTTATTTTTAATATTCAGCGCAAACTCACCTATCCATCCATCTATGTCTCAATGCTTTATTTTGTTGAGAAATCACCCCCTAGCATTTCTAGCTGTGGCCATCTTGAGTAAGGGCGAATAATTCATGTGGCATTTACTCCTTGGAATCCATCTGCCTTTAGTTCAGGAATGCAGGCAGGAGGATGTGCTTAGCTCATAAAGCCACTTCTTACCTCCTTCTTATGAAATAAAAAGCTCATTGTAGTGTTGTAGGGGCTGGTGGTTATTATCTGAAGCTGCCAATTACCCAAGCTCCAGTCCATACACTCAGACAGCCCTAGACTGACTTATTGAAGCCTTTTTTTGCAATTTACTGCTTGAGGAACAGGAGAGAGGGGGTTAGTGCAATCTTCTTCTTCTGTGCTAATGGGTAATAAACAGTTTAAGGTCTCACAGCTGAACACCATGGGGCGAGTCTTTTTGACATCTGGTTACCTTGCACTGATCCATAACTGCTGGTATCCAGTGCAGTTTCTAGAACACTACACAGTCACAGGGATTAGTTTAGGGTCATTACTCACAAATCCCCAGCCAGGGGAGGACTGACAACTCATGGGGCCCCCGGGCAATAGGGGATCATGGGGCCCCTGTGTCCTTGCCCAAACTCAAAAAAGCCTATGAAAAAGGTACCAGAGGCATCTCATGGAGCCCCCTACTGACCGCGGGCCCTCGGGCAGTGCCCGAGTTTCCAAATGGTCAGTCCGCCCCTGTCCCCAGGACAGCTGCCACCTTTCAGCTTCCTTCGGACTTGGTCCAGTGAGTTGGATGGTACCTCTCCAGACCAGGTCCCTGCAAACAGCTTCTAGCAAAGCCCATCAAGGCCCTCAGCTGTGACACTGTTGAGGCCTCCAGAACAGCTGTACAGTCTATGAGCGCAACTTCACTGGCTCTTTTAACTGTTTCCTCTCTGCCCTATAACAGAAATACTGCTACAGGGCGGCACGGGTGCGCAAAATCATGTGTATATATATGTGATTATGCATTTCTGGGTAGGGGGGCGCGTATGATCCACGCGCCTACCCTACCCATGCCACCATTCGCGGCCGTGGCTCTCACCCACCGGCGCACGGTGATTACTATGCATCTCTGACGGGGAGGAAGACTGTTTTGTTTACTAGCAGTCTTCCTCCCTGTCAGCTTGGGCACACTGCTCCGGATGGCTGTGCTCAGCACAGCCATCCAAAGCAGTTTGATTACAGTGACACACACAAACACGGCCCTCCTAGTAAAACACTCCCTACACATGGTTAACCCTTTGATCGCCCCTCATATTAACCCCTTTATGCTCAGTGCCATTAATACAGTGTCAGAGCTTTTTTTTTTTTTTAGCACTGATCACTGTATTTGTGTCACTGGGGATGTCAGTGACACCAAGTCAGTTCCCCCCCAGTCAGAATGTCTGCCGCAGTCCTGCTAAAAGTCGCTGATCACCGCCATTACTAGTAGAAAAAAAAAAATCCCAGTATCTATACTGCCATTTTTAAATGCTATAACTTTCACGTAAACCAAATTATTTACACGTATTGGGATTTTTTTTTAGCAAAGACATGGAGAAGAATACATTTTGCCATAAGTTTATGATGAAATTTGATTTTTTAAATTTTTTTACTGGACATGTTTAATAGCAAAAAGTAAACAATATTGTTTTTTTTTCTCAAAATTGTCGGTCATTTTCTTTTTATAGTGCAAAAAATTAAAAATGCACAGGTGATCAAATACCCCCGAAAAAGAGGACACAAATTTAATTTGGGTGCAGCGTTGCATGACTGCACACTTGTCAAAGTAACGCAGCGTCGTAATGCAAAAAATGGCCTGGCCAAGAAGGGGGATAAATCTTCAGGAGAGTAAGCGGTTAACCATCCTGAGGAAAAGGAACCTTGCTCTCCAGTTTTTCAGAATATCACCATTCCAGCCCCCTTCTAGACACACTTCTCCAGGGATTGGCTGGAACCTGATAAATATTTAGACTGGTTGTTTTGACTTTCCTGTCCTAATTTCTGGGAGCTTCTTCCAGAGGCAGGGGAAAGCAATCAAATTCTCAGTCTTTGATCACCCTGAGCAGACCAGGCTCCCTGGATTACAGAAGGAGCCAACAAATAAATATACCTGGCATCCTGTGCTAGGAGGGTGCTACAACTGAACCGGATATCGTATGTACTCTCCAGCGCCTCAGGATATGCACAGCCAAAAGGGAAGCCAAGGGTACCAGGACAGCGACAACCAAAGGAAATGCTTCAGGGGTGCATCCCTCCTCAGACGGGGAAATCAGCCACTGGATAGAGAGAAAACAGGTGGCGCACACACCTAGTGCATTATCCAAGGTTTATTGTAGGAGTGAAAGAATAATAAAAACATACTCACAGACGAAGCATGTATCTAAAAAGCATAGAAAAATGACGATGGCCACAACGGCAGGCAAGGTGTTCTCACTGTCAGTGCGGTCAAATGTCTGACGCGTTTCGGGGACGAAGCCCTTTCCTCAGAGCTAATAAAATGAATATTACTCGTGAGCCAAAATGTGATATTCTCCCTGTGCAATAAACTTATAAGAATATAAAATAAAACAACTATTACATAAAATTGTGGTGCATCAACACTCAACACATACTCATTATCTGTGTAAAAATCAAAATATATTTTTAGATATTTTGACCTTTCCTTAGAGCTGAAGACCAGCCTCTGATGCAGATGTATGATGAATGGAAAGTAGGAGCATCAACAGCAAGGCTCCTACTTTCCATTCATCATACATCTGCATCAGAGGCTGGTCATCAGCTCTGAGGAAAGGGATTCGTCCCCGAAACGCGTCAGCAATTTGACCGCACTGACAGTGAGAACACCTTGCCTGCCGTTGTGGCCATTGTCATTTTTCTATGCTTTTTAGATACATGCTTCGTCTGTGAGTACATTTTTATTATTCTTTCACTCCTACAATAAACCTTGGATAATGCACTAGGTGTGTGCGCCACCTGTTTTCTCTCTAGGAGGGTGCTACCATGAAGACTCTTGGTCTAGGCTAGAAACCAGGGTTTCTGAAAAAATGTAAAAAAAAAAAAAGTTTAAAATAAGTAAATATAATATACCTTCCTATCTATTTACCAATGCCAGCAGCATAAGTATTAAAAACAGTTAATGTTGATTAAGAAAGTTTAGTTTTGCTTTAACACACGCCATAATGTTTGTTAACACGTGTGTTGAAGCACTACAAAGGAATGTGTAAGTGTGAATGGACCCTAGTTGTTGAATGTGTTTTTTTTTGTCATAGCATTTTCCATTCATCAGCTGTCTGGTCTTTTTCAAATAATTCATACAAAAAAAAAATACAATTAAAACAGAAGTTTTGTAACCGCTTCATATATACATCCACTGGATTTACATATTTACAATGAGAGTCCTCTGTGAGGAATACCATGTGCAGCTTTAAATGTGACAAACAAGTCAACGTTTTTAAATGCCTATACATGCTGGTTTGTCGTTTACATTCAAGTATTGGCAGTCAAACGTCGTAAGATGAACATCAGCCCGGGAAGGCTTCTTTGGTCCAGTGTACAGGCTGTCCGTTTTACAGTTTGAGGTGTAGGCAGTAAAGTTGTTGACCCTGTAGAGTTCCGCCTGAGCCTTGCAACATCCAAACTTACTCATCAGCAGAAAGAAATCCCTTCGAAAGGCCTTGGTGAAAATAGCATATAGAAATGGGTTTGCACAGGAGTTCACAGGGTAAAACAAAACTAACAAAATTTTGGAATTAGTCACAGTTATAAGTGGAACTTTGAAGGCCGCAGAAATAGCAAAGAACGATATGGGTGCCATGCATGTAAAATCCGTGAAGATGAGCACTGCCATCTTTTTGGCTATTTTTGTGTCTTTATTGGTTGGCGTTAGCTCTGGATTTTGCACAGCGATGTAAATTTTGATGTAACAGGCACAAATGATGATAAAGGCCAAGACGTTGAGCACCAAAATGAGTATAATATATGCTTGAGAAAGGGGTGTTTCTATATCCATCGGTAAGCAAATGCTGACCTTGATGTAATTGCTGACCCCAACGAGTGGTAAAAGGGCGATCAGCAAAGAAAAAATCCAGCCCCCCAGCATAATCAGGATGGCGTGGCGCAGCCGCAGCTTTCGGTCCAGTTGCATTGCATAGGTTATGGTGTGCCATCTTTCCAGGGTGATCACAGTCAATGTATAGACAGACAACTCACTGGAAAACACAGTGAAGAATCCTGCCGCACTGCATCCGCTGCCTGTTTGCCAGTCAATAGCATGGTTATAATACTGATTTTTGGTCTTGGAGTCCACTGCTGCGATCAGAAGTAAGTAAATTCCCATGCAGAAGTCCGCAAAGGACAGGTTGCACATGAGGAACCGGGGAACCGTAAGTTTGTAATGGCTTGTCAGAAGGACAAACAGAACCACAGCATTGCCTGCGATGGCAAGTATACTAATGAACCAGATCAGTACTCGAAGAAAGTCATATCCCATGATGTCTTCACAAGGGTTGAATGCGTCTGGCTCTGGAGTGCATCTCAGTGTTCTAGGATGACACAGATATTCATAGTCTGGGGCTGGGTCAATGCTGCAAGAAAGGGTACACTCTGTGAAGTTTAGTTAAAATAATGAATTATATCAAATTATATTATATCAATTATACTCCAAAGACATGCTGGTAGGTTAATTGGCTCCTGTCTAAATTGGCCCTAGTATGTGTATGTATGAATGTGAGTTAGGGACCTTAGATTGTACACCCCTTGAGGGTTAGGGGCTATGTGAATGTATAATATATATGTAAAGCGCTGCGTAAATTCACGGCGCTATATAAGTACCTGAAATAAAATAAATAAATATCATCAACAATCTAGAATGTAGCACTGCAAATTCTTGCAGCATAATTAAAATGTATGACTGTAGTTGTCTTAACATTCTATAACACAATTTTTAATTTAATGTATTTTTCGAAAATGTTTTGCATTCTGTTTAATGGCATTATTTACTAAAGTGACCTTGTGATTATTTTCCATCAGGCCATGCCATCAGAATGGCACTCCCTTCAAACACATCCTTTGTTGAAGTCCGCTGCAAAACCAAAACCCTTCCGGGGGTCCTGGAAGATTTGGTTTCCCTGTAGATTTCAGTGGTGGATTTCTCTTGAATGGAGTGTTTTTCTGGTGGCATGGGCAGCAGGATAGGCAATTATTCAGTCTCTTCTTTTGCAAGTATGCCTGTTTTGAATTTATAGTGACCGTGTCACTTTAAGATATCTCTGGGTCTAATAAGAAAGCCCAGCACTGCCTCTGCCCTTGTTGACTGCTTCTGTAGACTGGAGTACCTTTCTAGTGGCGTTAGCAGTGGGATAGGTAATTATTTAGTCCTTTATTATGCCTGTTTTTTACTATAGTGACTGCCTCAATTTAATATTTCTCTGGGTCTAATAAGCCCAGTACTGTCTTTGCCCTTTAGGGGGGGGGGGGGTCCCTCTCCTGTCTTACTCAGCTTGTGTGTAATATAAGCAAGCCCAGCACTGTCTCTGCCCTTTAGGCAGGGCGTTTGCGGAGCGGTAACACCACTCAAACTGCATTATAGGCGTTTGTGGGACGTTATTAACGCTCGGCAAATGCCTAGCAACCACCGCTAAACCGCGCATGCGGCGTTTGCCAAGCATTTGCCGAGCGTTAAAAAACGCTCCGCAAACGCCGGACCAACGCTTGCCAAATGCTATAGGGGCGTTTGGCAAGCGTTGGCAAAACAGCCAAGTGTGAACGAGCCCTAATATAAGCAAGCCCAGTACTGTCTCTGCCCTTTAGGCGGGGGTGTGTCCCTCCCCTGTCTTATTCAGCTGTGTGTGTAAACTGATAATGTCCTGATATTCAAGTCTACTAGCAGCGTGCACTATATAGCTAAAAGTTTGTAGACACCTGACCATCACACTCTAATGAGCTTGTTGGACATTCCATTCCAAAAAAGGGATATTAATATGGAGTGGACCACCCTTTGTGGCTAGAACAGCTTTTTCTATTATTGGAAGGTTTCCCAAAAGATTTTGGACCTTCCTCAAACCACCACAAGCTTGAAAGTGCACAATTGTCTAAAATGTCTTTATATGATGCAGGATTACCAGGACCCTTCAGTGGAAACGCCTAAACTCAGTAATTGTGATAGGTGTCCACTTACTTTTGGCGGTATTGGGTTATGTGGTTCTGCTTCTGCAGGATTCATTTACGGTGGTGTTCTTGCTGCCCCTCTAAGATCCACGGTGGATCGCTTTGAAGAGAGAGAGGTTGGTAGGTGGCTGGGAGGTGATATGTTATCTGAAGAGCCCACACATTGCACATGTTTGTAGGGTAGTTGCAGTGTGGCCCCATTCACTTGAATGCTTTGGCATTGGTACTGCCCACCGAACGTGATGGGTATCATTTTTGCTATGGCTGTAGCATGTGTACCTCGGCCAGGGGTGTTAAAAGCCCATTTGTATGAAAGAACCCTTTGTACACACCTACACAAATAAAGTTGGTAATAAGCTATTACACTTTTTCCAGATGGAAAGAGTGACACCACTATTTGGCCTTGTAATGTACCATTCGCCATTGGAGCCCAAAGACATAAAAGAAACCAATATGTGATTCAGTTTGAAAATCGGTATTGGTATAGTTACTCTTTAAAATTATGATGGCTTTTTAATACCTACCTGGTGTCGTTGGCTAGCTTCCGCGGAGTCATATCACATTGGCTTGTCAGGTTTCCAAAATTGTATAGAGGGGAATTCAACCTTAGAAAAAAAAATGAACCGTTTTAATCTCATTTAATCTTTGTGGGGACTATTTATAAAAGCAACGGGGAAGAAAAAAAAAATCTATTTTTATGGCGCAGTTGTCCTTCAGTGAATAATCATGTTCCCAATTTAATTTTCCTAACAACCCTCAGTGGCCACTATAGGCGCTAGAATAATTTTTTTATGAAGAGACACCATATGATTTTATACTGTCATTTCATCATTAAAAATGAAAATAAAGATAACATTTTTATCACCGCTATCACCCCAGTAAACACCTCAATGAAAATGCTCAGCACAGGATACTTTAAAATCATAAGCTTTTAATGAAAGTATTGCACTTATACACAAATAAATTTAATTCAGCCTTGGGAACACAAAAGTTTCTAACAGACAAGATGGCCGTGATCTGTAACACGATGACATCATGCGTTGTAGCTCCACCCAATACATTTCATCATTAAAAGATGTTAGGGGCGTGGCCATCATCATATATTGCATATTCAATAGCCCCCAAGCGGAAACGCCGTCACAGGGATTAAGTGCGCTCCAATCTCCGGCAATGGTAACCCAGTGCCTGCGGTCCAATCACCGGACGTTGAAATCAAACAACTGCGCTCCAGTAACCCGAAGAAATAATCACATCATGAAGTAATCACAACTCTACGTACCGGAAATAAAACCTTAAGTAGAGTTACCGTTTTCCGCAACTGGAGCGAACTTAACTCCTGTGATGGCGTTTCCGCTTGGGGGCTATTTAATACGCGATGTACAGCACGTCGATGGCCACACCCCTGACAACATCTTTTAATGAAGAAAAACGTTTGGTGGAGCTATGGCGCATGACGTCATTGCGTTATGGATCACAGCCATCTCGTTGGTTAGAAACACTTGTGTTCCCAAGGCTCAACTTCATTTATTGTGTGTAGGTGCAATACTTTCATTAAAGGTTATGATTTTAAAGTACTATGCAATGAAGCGGTTTTGCTCTTCCTTCTACATGTACAATGAGAGTGTCCCCTGTCTTGGTATTTTAATAAATATCCATACTGAGGAGCATACTGCAGTGGAAAGTGACCAGTGAAGTGATTCTATGGAGACCTCCCTATGTATCTTACGCACTTTTGACTACTTGGCCCCTTTGGTGGTCATCAGGGGCGGACTGACAACTCATGGCTCTAGGACCCCGGGCAATAGGGGATCATGGGCTCCCAAGGCTGTGTCCTTGCCCAAACTCAAAAAAGCCTATGAAAAAGGTACTAGGGGCATGTCATCTCATGGGGCCCCCTACTGACCCCGGGCCCTCGGGCAGTGCCCGAGTTTCCAAATGGTCAGTCTGCCCCTGGTGGTCATGCTGTTCTGGTAAGAGGCTATGTGTGTGGAAGGTGGAAGAACTCTCCTTTTCAAGCACTTTTATTTTCTCTGGCACTGTGTGTTTGTGAATTCTAGCTATTATCTGGACTCTTTTGCATGAAAAATATTGTTATTATATTCCTGAACATACATTTTTGGGTTCTTTTTGTAAATTAGAGCTGCATTTATTTTCAATATTATAGTTATTTATACCAAACTGCATACAACTGTTCCAGACTTTTTAGCAATAATCAGTGCAGTGTATGTAAATGAATGGAAACTATGACTTCTCTGGAGTTGGGCTTGGGACCCAATGAGACAGAATAACCATACAGGTACAGGCAAAATGTGTCACACAGAGGGGCGGACTGACCATTTGGAAACTCGGGCACTGCCTGAGGGCCCGGGGTCAGTAGGGGGCCCCATGAGTTGCCCCTGGTACCTTTTTCATAGGCTTTTTTGAGTTTGGGCAAGGACACAGGGGCCCCATGATCCCCTATTGCCCGGGGGCCCCATGAGTTGTCAATCCCGCCCCTGGTCACATATGTAGGTCTATGGAAATTCTGGGATGTTCTGTGCACAGAAACGTTGCCATGGTAGCAAGGAAAGCAATTTCACATTCTTAACCATTTTAGGGCCATGTCAGATAGGTTATTTTATTTTATAGCAGTGACTTCCCATTGCTAGAGATCACAAATGCCAGAAATTACCAGTGATTTGTAACTATCTATGCAATCATTACAGTCAATGGTGATTTGTCACTAACAAGCAATCTTTCGCAGCTACAGATTAAACTTGTGCCACAACCTTATGTTTGCTGCTACAGATCCTTGTTCCTCGGCAATTTGTAGTTAGCCCATAAAGGTGAGATCAAAGCTTCTCGCCGACATGTACCACTGCATGAACTCAACGGCTCAGTAACCAAGCCACATATCACTGTAAAATTCATAAGTTACCAATTCCATAAAAATTAACTATGGTCTCCTAGTACGAAATCACTTAAAAAAAAAAAAGAAAAAAAAAATGATGGTTTTTGAATACACTGCCTTGTCTGACATGGTCCTTTAGAATATCTGAATTGGCTGTAGACTGAACTCACAAAAGGATCCATGTTTCGATAGGCCATTTTTGTAAAATGCATTAAAATAAATGAGTTCATTAACCAATTCAATACCGTGTAATTTTACACCTTCCTGCCCAGGCCATTTTTCAGGTTTCAGCGCTCTCACACTTTGAATGACAATTGCGCGGCACGGTCATACAATATTGTACCAAAACTAAAATTTTAAAATTTTCTTCACACAACTGGAGCTTTCTTTTGGTGGTATTTAATCATCGCTGGGGTTTTTATTTTTTGCTAAATTAACAAAAAAGACCGAAAATTTTGAAAAAAAACCCACGTTTTTCTTTGTTTCTGTTATAAACGTTTGCAAATAAATAATTGTTCTTCATAAATTTAGGCCGAGATGTATTCTGCTACATGTCTTTGGTGAAAATAACCCAAATTAGGATGTATTTTTTAGTTTGTAGGAAAGTTATAGAGTTCACAAACTATGGTATAGATCTGAATATTGATCAATCCTGAAGTACTGACAGCCAATCTAATTTCTTGAGGTCCAAGAATGTCAGAACAGTACAGATATCCCCCAAATGACCCTTTTTGCAGAGTAGACAGTAAGAGGCATGGCGAGTTTTTTGAAGTTGTATTTTTTTTGTCATAATTTTTCGGAAAATGAAAGAATAAAACAAATTATTTTCACTATTTTTTTTTTACATACTGTCACCAGTGCAGTACAGCATCATCATATAACTGGCATGGCGGTGATCAGGGACACTGACTGGTGACAGTGTGAAAAAAAAAAAAAAAATATTTTTTTTTTTTAATTTTTTTTATTTTAAATTTTTTATTAAATTTATTTTCTTTTTGTTAAGATTTTTTTTTTCATATTTCACTATGTCCAAAGTAGTACAATGTTACCATAGTAACATTGTACTACTTTGGGGAAGTGATCAATATATTTTTTTTTTTTTTTTACACAATTTGCTTATAGCAAAGAATTACTTTGCTATAAGCAAGCATTTACCTGAATGACATCGATTCATTCTGTTTTTTTTTTTTTTTTTGTGCTTAGCTGTGATTTGGCCACAGCTAATCACATGACATGTGCATGTGATTAGCTGTGACCATTCACAGCTAGACACTAGTATACAATGGATGGCATGAATGAAGCCATCCATTGTATACAACTGTCATGTGACCTGCTGTGATTGGTCACAGCAGGTCACATGGTACCGGCAACGGGGTCAGTACTCAAATCTGTCATGGCTGTGTCCGAGGTACACAGCCGGTGACAGATCATGCCGCTGCGCAGCTCTGCAAGTGCGCGAACTGCGCATGTGCTGGGGGACACCATATGGCGGCCTCCCAGAAAGGTAATGCATTTTTGGGGACGCCATTTGGCCATAGGCCGGGCGTCAAATGGTTAAAAAAAACAAATAGTGAGTTTTTCTTTAATTCTTAAAGTGATGTTAAATCCTCAATTTTTAAGCAATTTTAGCAGGCAATTGAATCCCTTAATGAGCATGCAGCTTCTTTATCTTTTAACTGCTTGCCGACCGCGCACGGTAGTTTCACTGCTACAGTGCTGGCTGAAACCGCAAAAAAAAAAAAAGATAGTTTTGAAAAAATTGCATGTCTGACATGGCCCTTTAGAATATCTGAATTGGCTGCAGACTGAAATGACAAATGGATCCATGTATGATAGACCATTTTTGTAAAATACATAAATAAAATAAAGAAAAAAGTGAGTTTTCCTTTCATTCTTAAAGTGATGTGAAACCCTAAATTTTAAGCAGTTTTAGCAGGAAATTGAATCCCTTAATAAATATGCAGCTTCTTTATTTCTTAACTGCTTGCCGGCCGCGCACGGTAGTTTTACTGCTACAGTGTTGGCTGGCTGTGCAGAATCATGTATATACAGGCGATTGTTTATTTCCAGAAAGGAAGCGCACATGAGTCTGGGACCCGCCGATCAGCAGGGCGGATGACAGGAGAAAGATCTGTGTTTTGTCTCCCTGGAAAGCAGAGAATAAAAACTGTCACCCCCCAAGTAAAAAACAGCGTACAGATAATACTTGCTAGGCACACAGTTAACCCTTTGATTGCCCCAGAGAGTAACCCCTTCCTGCCCGGTGCCATTAGTAGTGTCAGTGCATATTATTAGCACTGATCCCTGCATTAGTGTCACTGGTAATGTTAGTGTCAGATTGCTCGCTGTATTATCACAGTCCCGCTATAAGTCGCCTATAGGCGCCATTAGTAGTTTTAAAGAAAAAAAATTCCAGCATATATACTGTCATTTGTAGACTCTATAACTGTCACGCAAACTAAGCAGTATATACTGATTGGGATTTTTTTTTTTCATAAGAAATGTAGCAGAATACATTTTGGCCTAAATTTATGAAGACATTTAATTTCATTTTTTCATTGGATATGTTTTATTGCAAAAAAGTAAAAAATAATATATTTTTTAAACAAATTTTCAATAGTTTTTTTCCGTTTAAAGCACAAAAAATAAAAAACCCAAATGTTTCATCAAATACCACCAAAAGAAAGCTCCATTTGTGTGAAAACAAGGTATAAA